CGGGCAGATTCCTGCAGCGGGTTTCTTCCTGCTTCGCTAAAGTCAAAGTATAACTAACGTTCGGCTTAGGTATGCACACGTACCTGTAGGAGAGAAGAAATCGGGAGAATCCGAGGGAACATTAATACGTCGCCCGAAGGTTTTGAATCCTAAGTTCGTGCTCTAGGCGATCCTGCGGAGAGTAGGAAGTAAACGGGCGGCGCGCATTCGAACTCTCCACTCGTTCGCGTCCGCGGCCGCTCGGCCGTCTTCGCGTCACGGTCGCCCGTCGCCCCTACACGGCCTACTCCACGGCCCCCTCCACCCCTCTACGCCCCGGCTGCACTAGCGCGCCGCTCCGCGGTAGCGGTAGTGGGGACTACGAGAGCGCCGAGCGGCGGGCTCTCAATTGTCGTTGGTTCGTCGCGACGTGTGGACGAGTGCGTGGTGAGCGTTCGAGCCCAAGGATCAAGCGTGCGCCTCGGCTGCCTCGCGATCCGGTACGCGCACCCTAAAGCGAGCGGAAACGGCGCGCGTGCACGCGACGCACGTCGCCCCCCCCTCTCCCCCCGATCCGGACCGAGTGAAGTCCGTTACGGGACGGACAAGAGTTCGGAGTGTGTACTACCCGCGTGTGTATATGCGCGCGCGCGCGCACGACGTGCGGCCAATTTCACGCGGTGAGCGCGTGGACGCCCCGGACGATCCGAAAAAGTTTTGTGCCTCACGTTCAACTCGACATCCTCGCCCGCATCCTCGTCCGCATCCTTGTGAAATGTGCGTTGCGGCCGTGGCGTTCAACACGCGCGACAGCGACGCGATATTCCGCGATACTCCGTGGCGTTGACGGAAACGAGCGCGCGCGCGCGCGCGCTCGCTCATTCGCGTCCACCGCGATCGCGATCGAAGATCGGTTGTGAGTGAGAGAGAGAGAGAGAGAGAAAAGAGAACGACTTAGGGAAGGATAAACAAAGACGCTCTCTCTCGTGACGCTGACAGTGTGTGCTCTGAATTCTGGGATTTCCACCTGCGGATTTTGTGATACGCCGACACGCGGCTTCTGGAGCTTCGGAGTCCTTTTTTTTGTGTGATCGCCCAACGGACCTCCTCTGGCAGCAACGGCCATGACCGCGGACAGCCTGTTCGAGACTACCAGCATCCCGGGGCATCTCGCTCCCACGCCCGAGAGACTGGAGAGACTTCTCTCGAAACAGACCCTCGAGGAGCTCTACGAGGTCGAGGAACAGCCTTTCGCACGGTAAGCCACGACTCGAAACACGCGGGGCACCATCTCTCTTTCACCCCGCTTCCTTCGGCTCTCTTTCTCCTCGATCGCGCTCCACTCTCTTTCTCTGCCCTCTCCTCCTCCTCCTCCTCCTCTCCCTCCGGGTTGTCTTTGTCTTCGCGTAACCTAACGAGGCTAGACCGCTTCCGACCTGCCGCGACTCCGGTGACCTCCCGAGGTCGGGCTTAACCTCTTCCGTGCGCTCGATGTCTATCAATATTTACGCTCGAGTCGATCACCATAATGAACGCTGATAGAGAATGAGCGTTTTGTTATCGCATTATCTGATAGGCTGTATGTACATACACCTGTGTATTGTGCGCGAACAAGTGCGGACTTTCCGTCAAATTCCGCGTAAGGAACTTAACGCGACAATTTAATGGCCTTCTTCGCGACATTTAGCACTTTTGATATGGACGATTTTCTGCCGTTGATAACATAATTCATAATCAAAAATAGAGAAGGGGGACACACTTCGAAAAATATATGATGATGTAAGAGTCAATATTGACACTTTCTACAATAAATTCCTTGTATTGTATAAAGACGTTACAGTAAAGTAGGACTTAATACAGATAAAAGATAAGGCAAAAAGGAATATATCTTCTCAAGTATATATACGTTCTTAAAAATGTTCCGTATAAAGAATTTTACGATAATTTGACAGAATTTAATACGGTCTGGGGAAGACACTCGATTAATATATATAGTTCGTTAAAAAATAAATTAAAATCATGTATGATATATAAATGTCGCAGGTGTATGGAAAATTGTACTAACGCTTCGAAGAAAGTTGATCAAAGATACGCACAAAGTAAACAGAGAAATTGATAAAGATACATCTTATTTTTCGTGTACGATGTACTTGGGATGCGACGCTGCGAAATTTTCGATCGAAAGAATTGATCGAAGATTTTATCTAAAGTGGAGCAGCAAAGTCCGTATAGAAAATGGATGTGATAGTTTTCAAGTCGCGTTCTCATCTCTGACGCGCTCCGTTTTAACAAAAGTAAGGTAAAGCTGTAAATAAGGTCTCGCTATAAAAAAAAAGTACGATTTACAAAAGATCCTGGTGCGTAAGGAGCCTCGTTTCTCAGACGAATTATCCGATCGTGTGCGCGAGAAAGGGGGACGCGATTCGATGCTATTGTGCCGAGAGCGTGCGAATGCGATCTATCATCGAAGGTGATAAATGCGTGCGCGAGGTAACGCGAGATGCGGGTAATTAGTATCTCGTGACGCGCGCGTGTCTCGGCGCGATTACTCGCGGATTTAATGGAAGCAAGCTAGGATGATTTTTGAAATCTGTACCGTATCGCGCGCAGTATAGGTATGCGGCCGTATACAACAAAAGGGATGTATTATATCGATAAGGCGTATTACGTCTCGAAGATAATTCGAATCGGGTATAAAGTACGGATTAAACTTTAGCGCGCAACAAATTATCAATTTAATTATCGGTATTATAAGATATCGTTAATGACTTATTTACGCTCGGTTTGAAGTCTCGCGGCACATCGCGAAGGGGTTAATAGATCCGATAATGTACGAATGATTGTATTAGCGTGATTAATCGCGAGAAAAAAATTACGAGGGTTATCTCGAGGATATTAAATTAATTTATAAGATTTTCGCTTTATACACGGGGGTGGGGGAGAGAGGGGAGGCGTAGGGAAGAGGGGAGATGAGCGGAGGATTTTATCGTCACTAAATTTCGCGTCGTATTTACGTCCGCGTTTAATCGTCGTATTAAAGTTACCGCATAATCGTATTACGACATGTGCGTTATATATATAAAAAAAAGGAAGGAACGCGCTCGTTATATTCGCGCTTCTCCGGTTTACCTTTAACTAATTTTCCGCGGATCCCTCGCGCGCATATCGGGCTACCTTGCGTAATTGCGCGTTAAATCACGCGCGTCGACGGAAACGCGCTCGTTATGGAACCATTTCACACGTGTCTACGATTTTTTAGTGATCCACCGCGGGGAATACTAATGCAGCCTTTTCTTGCGATAGATCATTACACGCGGCAAGAAAGTAAACGGCCTCTAAACATATATCGCGCTATTGTAAATATTCCCGCCGCGGCGGCGGTATATTTTACCGTCGCTCGTATTAAATTTCGAAGTTCAATCTAGATAAGAATTATTTGACTGTATACATCCGTAGCCGAGATATATGAAGCTTTTAACGTGCAAAACAAAGTGACGTGCGAGTTTTATGAGATATCACGAGAAGGAGAAAGAGGATGAGAGTAATGAGAGAGACGGAGTCGCTGTATATGTGATATATGTAACTTGAGTGCGATTGCGCGAGTTTTAATGGATTCTCTTGCATTCTCTCGATATTCGGCGGTTCCGTCGGGGCCAAGGAATCTCGGAAAATATTTCGTTTCGGGCGACAGTATATGAATTTCTCTTTAACTCGTATACCGTAACGGCGCCAATCGTTTCCGTTCGAGCAGGGCCCCGGGCCACCCTTATCTCGGCCCTGAGGCCCTCCTCGTGAAAGAAAGTGCTCCCACTGCGAGATCGAGGTCGAGACTTGGTTCTCCTCGTGTCGATACATTCTTTTACGACCTGGCTTGGAAGGGACTCCCGCTGCTCTCCTCGCACGAAGATGTCCGCCGGCCCGCCGCCGCCGCCGCCGCCGACCGTTGCGAAAAGAACGCGAGGAGGTGGAAACGGTCGAAACGGTCTCTTTCCGAAACTATGCAAGGCCGTTCAGGGCCCTCCACGCACGCACGCACGCAGATCCCCGAAGCTGCTGCGTGACGTGTCCTGCGAACGGCTGTTGAATTTAAAGGAAAATGCGGTCCCGGGAGAAATCCTCGAATGACATCCATATGTCCGATGCAGGCACACGATATCGGGACTTCCCACAATTTTCCGTGACGATGCGATGCCAAATTCGTGAAAGACAAACGAATTGCCCACAATTGTTCGTGGCCATGCCGCGATCTAAGATTACCCGGTTTATATTGCGATACTTCGTCGAAGGGTCATCTGTGCGATGCCGATTACGGAGGCGCAATGGAATGTTTTAATTGCGCGAAGGAAAACAGGACTGATTTCTCGGAGCAGGAAATAAATAAATAGAAACTTATCTGCGTAATAGAAATTCAATACAGCGTTAACATTGTTTTCTATTTGATCATTTGGGTGCGTAATAGATGACCGTTGGATCGTGTTGGGTCACAGACGTGGCCTCTGCCGCGAGAGACCGCGAGATTGCGCGAATTGAAAAATCGGATCGAGCGAAACGACGAAAGCGCGGGGAAAATCCCCGGGGTTTAAGATTAATCGCGATAGCGCTAATTAACGATTAACCGGCCGCGCGTATAAATCTCTTACGTGCCGCGCCGTAAAGCGTTGGAAATCCTAGCTATCGTAAATTCTCGATGAACTTTAACGCGTCACGTAGATATAATATCCGATAATTGCTAAGCCGGGTAGTTGCTAAACATTTTATCCGCAACTTATATTACGTCGGCAAATAAATTTCTGCGAATTAGAAGAGATTCTCCAGCTATCTCTCGCGTGGCTCTAATTTATCTCTCTATGGCTCTTCTTGTATAAGTTAAATACTTTTCGATATGTCTACGTGTTACGTATACATATCGATTCTTTTGCGTTCGCACCACTTTCAGCGAAACTCGAAGCTCGCATCCGGTCTCGTCGTGAATAATCTCGCGTTTAATTTACCGTTAGACTGTCTCTGTCCTGGAATTTTTATTAACTTTGTGTAAGAGCGCGACACACGCGCGGCGTGGTGGCGACTTCCTCTCGCATCGCGCGGTTATATGTTATAACGCCTCCTTAACGACCGGACGCGCCCGGGACCTTCCTGAATGGCGTTAAGCACCGTCGAGATTTATGCAAACCGTCAATCACCGCGCGTCGTGACAGCGATGGCGCGAGGAATGAAAAGTATCAGATAATAATCGCCGCCGCGCTCTCTGCCCAACACCTGCCGCGTTCTAGAATTTCTCACGCGAGGCATCCGCCCGGCGCGCGATGCAACCACGCGCGAGCGTAAATATAATTTCATAATGCGAACGATTATCTCGCGTACGTCCGACGTACTCAAATGGGACTGCGCTTCGCCCTCTTCGCATATATAGTTTGCGTGTGTGGTGTGGCGGAGACACCGGATTCTCTTAGAAACCTCAGCTCCCTGACGCGCTTTTGTGTGCCTACGTCTTCGAGTCTCTTGCGTGAAAAGCGGAGAGAAAAAACAAAAAAGAGAGGCAACTTTGTAATGTACAAGTGGAAATCTTAACCCTCTCTCGACAAGCACCGCTGTTGTCCCCAGTGCAAGCACACAACTTTGTGGAAAGCACTTGAAAGATCAAGCCGTTATTCTGTCTTATTTTTAGTTGTCGTGTTTTACATTATTTTTTTGTTTGTTAAAGAACGTAAAGAACGATAGAAAATACCGACTGTGTTTAGCAGAAGAAGTAAGTTTTGCAACTGTTTGCAACTGAGATTTTTTAATACGATTGGTTCTTACCCTTAATTCCTCACTATCTAAACGTATAAGCTAATATTAAAGAATCTTACGACTGCAGTTGCAAAACTGCATTTTCTGCTAAGTGCAGCCAATTATTAGAAATTGCGGCATCTAAAGCTCAAAGCTACATGCTATCGTGTTAATACATATATCGTGAAGTATACTTGAAAGTATTGCGCGCAGAAGCGGATAAACTCCCCGCTGGACAGTTGAATGCACAACGCACGCGTTTATATTCGCGCTTCGATATAACGACACGTATCCCAATCGCGATCAGTGACACATCGTATCGACCCGATATTAAATAAATAAGAGTCTTCCCGGTATCATTTTTCAATTCAACGAGCTCGTTCTCTTGTTCTCGCCCTCGCCTTCTCTCTCTTCCTCGCCAGGCCGCTTCCTCGATCGCGAGTACGTGCAATCGAACGCAAACAAATCACGTCAATGTTTATCTTACCG